ATCATATCATATCATATCATATCATATCATATCATATCATATCATATATCGAGACCAGAACTGTGCACGAAACTCCAAAGTTCTTTCAAGTTTAATTTCTCCATTTTTCCATTCTATTCCTCTAGGTATAAACTTGCTTGTTTTGCCTATGTTAATGATCCAATTAGCCTGTGATGTTATTTTTAATGATTCTGTATTGAAAAATAGTCACATCATACAGCACGGAGACGGACCCTTCAGTCCAACTAGTCCAAGCCGACCAAAACTGAACTAGTCTCACTTACCTGCATTTGGCTCGTATCCCTCCCAACCTTTCATATTCATGTACTTATCCAAATGTCTTTTATATGTTGTAACTGTACCTATCCATCACTTTTCTGGCAGTTTATTCCATATGCGAACCACACTGTGTGTAAAAATGTTGCCTCTCATGTCCTTTTTAAAACTTTCTCCTCTCATCTGAAATATATGCCCCCTAGTTTTGAACTCCTCCACGCTAGGGAAAAGACTTCTGCTAGTCACCTTATCTATGTCCCTCACTATTTTATAAACCTCCAAAAGGTCACCCCTCGACCTACGTTCCAGTGAAAAAGGTCACAGCCTATTTTTGTAACTCAAACCCTCCATTCTCAGAAAGATCCTGGTAAATCTTTTCTGAACCGTCTCAAATTAATAGTCTTCCTATAGCAGGGCAACCAGAACTGCACACAGTACTCCAGGAAAGGGCTCACCAATGTCCTGTACGAACTCAACATGACATCCCAACTACTATGCTCCAAAGGTTTGAGCAATGAAGGCAAGCATGCTAAATGCCTTCTCAGCCACCCTTTCTACCTGTAATGCAAATTTCAAAGAATTATGTACCTGAACCGCTGGATTTCTGTGTTCTACAACACTACTCAGAGCCCTACCATTAATTGTATAAGTCTTGCCCCTTTTTTGTTTTACCAAAATGCAAGACCTTGCATTTATCCCAATTAACCTCCATCTGCTACTCCTCAGCCCTTGATCCAATTGATCAAGATCTCGTTGTAATCTTAGCTAACTGTCTTCACTGTCCTCTATACTGCCACTTTTAGTGTCATCCGCAAATTTACTAACCATGCCTCCTATACTTTCATCCAATTCATTTATGTAAATGACAAACAAGAGTGGACCCACTACAGATCCCTGTGGAATACTGCTGGTCACAGGCCTCCAGTCCACAAAATAATTCTCCACAACCATCCTCTGTCTCCAACCATCAAACCAACTTTGTATCCATTTGGCAAGCTCACCCTGAATCCCATGTGATCTAACTTTACTAATTCGCCTACCATGCGGAAGCTTGTCAAAGGTTTTACTAAAGTCCATGTAAAAAATGACAGTGGTAATCATTGATGTAAAGTGAATACTATAAATCACCCTGTTTCGTCTCTGCCTCAAAAATGTGTAAATTCATCAATTAAAATATTCCTACATGGATAAAAGCCATTGATACCTGGCAAGATATATTGGCATTGCTGGTATTTCAGATGAGGTTAACTAGGTTGATTCTGGGTATGGAAGGATTTTCTTGACATGTTGAGTGGGTCTGTACTCGTTAGAATTTAGAAGAATGAAAGGAGACATTATTGAAACAGGATTTTTAGGAGACTTGACAGGGTAGATACAGAGAGGATGTTTCCCCTTGTGGGAGAGCCCAAGACCAAAGGGAATCATCTGAGTAAGGGGTTGCCAATTTAAGACACATGAGGAATTTCATCCTCTTAGAGGATGGTGAATCTGTGGAATTCTTTACCACGGAGGTTTGTTGTGGCTGGGTCATTATCTCAGCCTGGAATATACTTAGACAAATTTTTAATCAGTAAGGGAATCAAGGTTATGGGGAAAAGGCAAGAAAGTGGCATTGAGATTTATCAAATCAGTGTGATCTTGTCAAATGCTAATGACAGAGCAGCCTCGATGGCTTGAATGGCTTACTGTTGCTCTTGTAGAGTATGATAAAATCAAATATTATCAAGAGATGACCTTCAATAATGACTTTTTTTTGGCAATCCAAGCAAATTTCAAGCATTCTTTATGATAAGTGTACTTTTTTTTAAGAACAACATAACTTAGTAATAGGAAATTCATATCCTAATTCTCTGAAGTGAAATTTAATCTGTATTGGCTGAGTATAATGGATGCTTAGAGTCTTTTAAAAATTGCTATTGAATCTGCTCCCATCACACTTTCAGGTGATATATTCTATGACAATTTTTGGTATTTATACTTTTTAAAACTCCTCAAATTGTTTTGCTGATTACCTTAAATCTGTGTTGTTTGCTTCCCACTGTCTACCATATGGGTACTATTTCTTCCTATCCACACTATCAGAACCATTCATTGTTTTGAATGCCTCTGTTACATCTCTTTGTTAGCTTTTTCTGTAAGGAGTGTGATCCAGCACCTAATCTCTCCATGTAATTGAAGTTCTCATCTTGATATGCTAGTAAATCATCTCTGCTCCCTGTCCAAGGCCTTCACATCCTTTGTGTAGTCTGATGTCCAGAATTAGAGAGACCACTGCAGCTGAGGCTGAAGCAGTGTTGTAAAAAGGTCAAATTTAACTTCTTTGCTTTGTATTCTATGCCTACTCATACAGCCAGAGATCTTGTATTATTTTCTGTTTAAACAGCCTTATAAACTTGTTCTGTCTACAAAGATTTATATTTCTTTGATTCTGTGTCCCATTTAAAATTGGTTCATTCATATTATTTCTTCTCATTCTCTCTTCCAAAATCTAAAATCACACTTCTCTGTAATAATATTCATCTACCATGTGTCTTCTCGTTTCACTAATCTGTCAGCATCCTCTTGAAGCCTGTGGTAACCTCCCTCATTGTTTACTGTGTTTTCTGAGTTTTGCGCCATTTGCAGATTCTTAATTACGGCCTGTATACTTTCAAATTTCAGATCAATGATACTGACCTCTAAAGGACTGCACAGTACACTTCCCTCCAGCCCAAAAAAACAGTTGTTCACCACTACTTTCTTCTTTCTGTACCTGAGCCAGTTTTGTACCCACACTTCTAAACCTGAGGGCTTCCAATTTGCCAACATGTCTAACGTTGGTACTTTACAAAACAACTTTTGAAAGTCTTTGGGTAAAAGAAAAAAACAGAAAATGCTGAAAAGTAAATACCACAGATGTGTCAGCAGATGTATCTGCAAAGATACGTTCATCTCGAACCATGTCAAAAATGAAAGAAATGTTACTTTTAAATGTCAGTCCTGTAGTGTATTTCTAACAGGACTACTGTTAATAAATAAATAGTAGTAAAGACAGATTGCTGAAAACGCTGCCATGTACTGAATGAGATCTCTGCTTATTAGTACTTTTTAGAACCCTGATTTTGCAGAGGTGTGGTTGATATTCAAAGTGCTGGATGACTTTATTGAAGTATTACTGTGGGAGGAGTTGGAAAAGTGGGTCATAGTCCTGAATGCAATTAGTCCTTTTAGCTAGAAGTGTGATCTCATAGAGGTTTACATGTAAGGTGAATAGCCAAAGTCTTTTTCCAAGGATAGGGGAGTCTAAAGCGAGAAGGCATAGGTTTAAGGTGAGAGGGGACCTGAGGGGCAACTTTTTCACACAGAGGGTGATGCGTGTATGGAATCAGCTGCCAGTGGAAGTGGTAGAGGTGGGTACAATTATAACATTTAAAAGACCTTTGGGTGGGTACGTGAATCGGAAAGGTTTAAAGGGATATGGGCCAAATGTAGGCAAATGGGACTAGTTCAGTTAAGGATAGCTGACAGGCATGGACGAGTTGGTCTGTTTCCATGCTGTATGATTCTACTATAGTTCTAAGTTGCACCTTTATTTAATAGAATTATTGAATTTTAGAATGGAGAAGAAAAATCTCTGAAAGTGCACCATCTTGTTTCATTCTATTATCTATCCTCATGCTCTTTTCTTTATCAAAAATTTATTGGTTTCTAGTTGTAAAAATTGGTTTAAGCTTCTACAGCTGTCCAAATCCAAACAGTACTACTCCAAATCCAAACAGCATGTCTCCACTGCAGAGACTTGAGCATAAAATCTAGGTCAATATTTCATTGTTTTGAGAGTGCAGCATGCCAGAAGTGCTATTATGAAAATTAAGTTGAAGCCGCCATCTGCATGTTTAATCTAAAAGATTCCACAGCGCTTTTTGTTTTGAAGAGCAGCATTCGTTCTTCAACACAATTAGAGCTGCTTAACCGGCATTTCATATCACTGTTTGTTGTATTTTGCTAAGTGCAAATTGTCCACCACATTTGACTGCAAAATGACAAGAGTAACACTTGAAAAGCTGTTTAATGACTTAGTTGTATGGTACCTTGGGATGGACTTGAATGCATTTTTTTATTACTAGTGTTGAATCCAAGTTTCTAGAATTTATCATAAACTACAGCCTAAGCAAAAATATGTAATACAGACGAGCAAGTATAGAAAAACACTAATTCCAGCTGTTTAATGGGAATGAACATCAGATTTATTTTGAACAAGTAGGTAAACTAATCAATGCACCAATTTGACGTAAACATTTTTTATATCCAGTCCACTTTGCTGAAAAAGCGAAATAAGCTATTTAGTGGAATGATGGGTAGGGGGTGGGTGTATGAAAACCAACTTTCACCTTTGTTTTGTCTGAAGATAGCATTCTGTTTCTTTTCTCTCGGTAGGCTGTGCAGTTGTTGGTCTGTGACATTTTGCTTTCAATTCGTACAACCTTGTGGCAGAAGCAGGCAAGCTCCAGCCAGGTTGTGGGTGAGACCTACCAAGCTTCAACTGTAGAACTGAAAGGATTCCAACGAGACCTGAGCAGTCTCAGGAAACTTGGCCAGACATTTAAACCGGCACATCGTAAGGTAAGCAAGCAAAACCATATTCAATGGCATTACTGTTGTTGAATTCCCACTGTTAACATCCTGAAAGTTACTACTAACCAGTAATGGAACTGGACCAGCCATATAAATACTCTGGTTACAAAACCAGTTTAGAGGCTGGGAATTCTGCACTGAATAGTTCGCCTCCTGTCTTTCCTGCCTGTCAACCATCTACAAAGCACAAGTCAGGAATGTAATGCAATATTCTCCACTTGTCTGGTTGAGTACAGCTTCTACAACATTCAAGAAGCTTGACACCATCCAGGACAAAGCCTGTTTTTTGACATCCAACCCACCACCTTCCACCATTTACTCCTTTCACCACTGGTGGTGGCAGCATGTGTTGCATCTTCAAGATGCACTACAGTAACTCAACAAAACCCGTCTCAAAAATCCATAGAAACCAATGACCTCTATCATCTAGAAGGACAAGGGCAGGTGGTTGTGAACACCACCACCTGTAAGTACCCCTCGAAGCCACACACCATCCTGACCTGGATATCGCCCTTCTTTCACTGCTGCTGGCAGAAGCAGGCTAGTTCCAGCCAGGTTGTGTGTGGCTCCAGCCAGGAAATTTCAGAATTAATACTCTGAAATTTCCTTTCTAACCATGCTGTGGGCATCCCTATGCTCAAGGACTGCATTGGTTCAAGAATGCATCACAATACCACCTTTTGCAGGATAATTAGGGAAGGGCAATAAATGCTGGCCTTGCCAGCAATGCCAACATGCAGTGAATGAATTTTTAAAAATATCTAACTAATCAGAGAAATACACTTTTCTGTCACACATAATACAACCAAGCATTAATGTATCCCGTATTTTCTTCAAAAAATTCCACATGTAGAAATAATTACAAGTGATTAGAGGAGGAAAAAATATTGTCCATTCTCTTAAACACAATATTCCAGTTCTCATCTCAATTTTTCATGTTTCCTTCATAACATGAGACAGACCTCTTAGGCCGTTTAATTATTTATTGAGGCAAACTGTTCTCTTGGTAAAACAGCTTGGCAATTTGTGACTCGCGTCAACCCATTTTATTTTAGAAACCTCTTCTTTGCAATGTTTTTTTGACACTAGCAAGGTCAATTCTCAACCTTGTTTCTGCAGCTCCCTTCTGTGAAAGAATATTGTCCAAAAGATAATGATTATCTACATAACATTTTATGACCACATTTTTCTCATATTGCCCCTTGTATAAGATCTCCTTCAGAATATTAGATAGGTCTGTCCCAATATCTATAGTTTTTACTAGTGCCAGGGTTTCAGCACTGCAGGTGTTTAAACTGCCATGTTTATTTTCTTGGCTTTTCAGGCCAAAGGATAGCATTTATTATTTGCTCCCACCAAGAATATGATAAACTGTGCTGCATGAGAATATCCATTTGGAAAATTAGCACATGAAGCATCTTAAGAATGACTAACTTCAATTCCTCTGTATCATCTAAGGCTGGAATCTTGAGTGTACATTTGTCTGTATTTATTTTGTTTTTTTTTTTGAAGAGGAACAAGGAATTTACTGTCCTAGCCCAAATGAATCCCTGATTCAACATCACTGCAAAAATTATCTGAACATTATCGCATCAGAATAGCACTCTATCATATTATATGTTTATTTTGTGTTTATTGCTTTTTCACACTTCCACCACTTTGTTTTAGATGTTTTTGCATGAGGCGACTGTACGATTGATGGCAGGTGCAAGCCCAACTCGAACTCACCAGCTTCTGGAACACAATCTGAGGAGACGAACATCACACTTCATCCAACAAGGTAATGCATTTAGTGCCAGTAAGCCAGCTGTTAAGTGCTGGAAGTTCTGGTATATAGTCTTAGACAATCCTGACAGGAGGTGGTATTGTTGCAGATCTTGTAGCAAAGTCATCTTGCTTTTCACAATTTTAACACTTTTTAACCTTCTGCACACACTTTTTTTTGCCTTTTCAATAATGCCTCTCATGACCTCCATCAGTGTTCGATCTCCTGTTCCATTTCCCATTCCCTCCTTGTAAAATGCCTTCAGGCAGTTGTGGAAATTGGTACAAAATTTAAGTGTCAAGGAGAAAAATGAGACCATTGGTCTATCTGACTGACATATCCGCAACATTCCCTCGAGATGTTTCTAATAACCCAGAATCCATTTTGTTGAAGTTCCTTGTCGAAATGTATTAAGGTTTTTTGTTCGATCACCATTACCAGAACTTAATATGTTTCAAGCTGACTGGTAAGATAGAAACAAAACACATAGCTTTTCTTGGTGGATAGTTTATTGACTAGCTCGGTCATACAGCTGTGATCCTGCACTCAGTGTCACAGCGTTTCCCTATTTATGTGCGCTGAAAGATAATTTATAGTGACCACTTGTTTCTCTTAAGCTTAAAATTACATTAACAGAACTTAACAATGTGATTGATAAAACGCCAGTTATCTGTTGCACGTACTTACCAAAACAACAAGCTTCATTTAGACACCCCGTAATTAAATAACCTTAAGCACTTCACAGGAAAGTAATCAAGAAAAACCTTTCACCAACCAACATAGGGCGATCTTGGGACAGGTGACTAAAGCTTGGTCAAAGATTTTAGTTTTGTCACACTTCTGCCAAATTGAAGCAATGAAATTCAAAGATATGAAAGAGCTCAGAAATGGGAGAAAACAGTGATCTCAGAAGGTGTGGAGATAGAGGAAGTTAGTGAAAGGGAGCATGAGGAAATAGCTCCTTTGTGTCTACTTTATCAACTTTTTAATAATTTAAAACACCTTAGTTAGATCTCCCCATTCAGCTTCTATACACTAGAGAATACAATGCTAATCTGTGCAAACACTTGGCCTTATAATGTAACCTTTTTAAGTCCTCTTATCGTTCTGGCGGATTGATGTTCCATCTCTTTTCACTGTCAGTGTATTGACCCTTACCAAGATGGGGTGCCTGGAACTGAATGCAGTCCAGCACATGAGTTTAATTGATTTACCTATGCCATGGCCTCAGCAATCTCTGTACTTGGAACCCTAAATTTCTCAGCTTCCCACAATTTGGAGAATATCCTGCTGTCTTTCATATTTGGATGATCTCTCACTGAGTTCTAACCCTGCCAGTTTTGCTTCCACATTAAATCCTTTATAAACTTCTGATCCTGCCTGCACTATTGACACTCAGCAAATTTAAATACACGGTTCTCTGTTCCTTAATTTAAATCACTGATAGACATAAAGCTAAGCTGAGATTCCAGTAAAGATCCCTGCAGGATACCATTAATCATCTAATAACATATTCTAGTGACTTATAACAGTATTTCCTAGTTTACTTCTCCTATCCTCCTTTAAATGATACACCAAAAGTATTTAAAGAGGAGGTAGAAAGGTTTTTGAAATATCAAAGAGTTGATGGCTATGCAGAACTGGCAATAAAGAGGAGTTGAGGCCTGGGGCAGATCAGGTACGATCTTGTTGAATAGTTGGGCAGGCTAGAGGGGCTGAATGTCCTATTCCTTCTTTTTCTTATGTTCTTTATTCCCATCCAAGATGATCAACCTTGCAAATTTTGCAAAATTCTGCAAAACAAAAATTTGGGTACTACCAATGAATAGATAACCTGCCTATAAATGTTAGCATCAGCATGAAATAATTTGTGAGGTGTACATGATAATGAGAAATTTGTGGACCTGATGGCCACAAATCTATCCTTACCTATTAAAGGACATGTTTAAAACAGTACGAGGCCTCAACAATTTATTTGGTTTTTTTCTGTGTGCCATACACCAGGATAGGAGGCACAGAATTTATGTCAACACTTTCTTTTAATGTGTAAATTGGTAGCATGCTGTCCTTTGAGGCTCAAATCTGCACATTTGTGATACAGTCTAGGGCTGAGAGACCAGGGTAGTAACTGAAGGCATGTTGCAATTTCAGAGGGTGTCCCCGTTGAGAATGAGATGTTCAGTCGTGGCCCAGTCCTTCTACTTGGGTGGATATAAAAGATCCTTTGTTCTGGCCATTATTTAAACCTCAGTTATCATCACTTTTTTAAAAAAAAAATTATCTACTCCTTCTCACATTGCTGTTTGTGGGAGCTCGCTGAATGCAATTTAGCCACTGCATTGTCCTATGGTACAACAGTGTGACTACACTTCAGAATACTCCAATGGCACTTGAGGCGTCTGGTTGTCATGAAAGTTGTATAAATGCAAGTCTTTTCACTCTGCTTTGTTTGGCAAGGTGCGCTGATTATACCCTCGGGCGACTTCAGAAGCTTTTTGGCCACCTTTTAAGCTGAGTAACAACTCTCATTCTTCTAGAACAGTTCAGCGATTGTCCAGTAGGAAATTTCTGCAGTGCCATACAGGTTAAGGATGAAATTTAAGTTGATAAACAGCTTTCAATCACACAGCCAGTGTTCCTGAAACAGTGGCCTTTAAAATGATCAATTTTAAGCATAGAATCACATGATGGTTTGGCACATTGATGATCTTTGCAAAGCAAAATTTTGAGGTCAGTTTTTATTTTAATTAGGTAATACCAGACGTAGCACAAAAGGAGTTAAGTTCACATCCGTCTGTACACATTTGGAATTCGAGTAAGGGAATGCTAGAAGTACAGCACTAAGAGATAACAGACTTCCAAAATATTTTACTGTTTTTGATTGCTGTTTACAGGTGAATTGGATGCTCTTCCAGGCCAGAGAGAGCGAGCAACAGCCATACTCCTGGCATGCCGTCATCTTCCCCTCTCGTTTCTCTCCTCTCCTGGCCAGCGAGCAGTCATGCTGGCCGAAGCTGCACGTACTCTGGAGAAACTTGGAGACAAGCGGTCTGTCAATGATTGCCAGCAGGTGATCATGAAACTGGGCAGTGGCACCACGATTGCAGCAAGCTGATATGTGGGATGCCATGCCCCAGCCTGCGGTAAATGTTTTCTACTCTCTGATTGAATCGCACTGTCATGCCCATAAACAACCAGCACGTGTTTCAGAGCCGTAATAATTTCCTTCCGATGAAATGCAGTTTGGCAGATTTGTTGCAAAAGATATTTTCACATTCTGTCTTGTAACCAAGATTGCAGTATGTGTGTGCAAGTTGCTTTTCACAGGTCGATACAGTAATCCAGTGTCATCTTTCATTTGACCTCCATCCCCCCCTCTCCTATTGTCCCCACTTCACTTGTCTCTCTGATATGAATACACTACTGCAGATGACCATTCAGTTCCATTTGTCAAGGCTGCAGTTCTCAATTTGAGGGTATCAAAATTTCCATTTGCTCAATATTTTAAATAATTTATTAAATTTTTACATCCTCATACTTTGCTCTTGAACTGTGTTCAGTCTTGCGAATGTAATTTATCATGCATGTGTTTGGGACAGTGTTTTTCTTATAGATTTCATATATATGTAAGTTAGAAGAATTATTTTTAAAAAAATCAAAAGCCCATCAAAGCCAAAAATGCCTGTCCTTTTTTTCGATCAGCTCTGTCTAGCTTCTTTCTCACAGAATAATCTTAATAGTTTGCCTAGAGATATAATGGATTCACCTTTAAACCCTACATATACTGTCCACTCAATGACTTACCTTTGTAGATTGTTCCACAACTTTGTTAGCCTCTGCGTGAAAAAAATTGCAGGATTGCTACTGTGTTTTAGTGAGACTATATGCTTTTTACTGTTTCTGGTACCAAGGATCAGTTTTATTCCTGACAGAATCAACTTACATGCTAAGGGAGGGCAGCACAGTGGCTGAGTGGTTAGCATTACAGCCTCACAGCGCCAGGGACCCAGGTTTGATTCCAGCTTTGGATGACTGTGTGGAGTTCTCCCTGTGTCGGTGGGGTTTCTGCTGGGTGCTCCAATTTCCTCCCACAGTCCAAAGATGTGAAGGTTAAGTGGATTTGCTATGCTAAAATAGTTCATAGTGTCCAGAGATGTATAGGATATGTGGATTAGCCATGGTAAATGCGGGAATTTGGTAGGGGACTGGGTATGGGTGGGATCGTCTTTGGAGTGTTGGTGCATACTTGATGGGCTGGATGGCCTCCTTCCACACTGTAGGGATTTTATGATTTTAAAGCACCTCCTTCCCTTGGAATAACTGAAAGATGTACAGTATTGATCTTTATGGAAATAGCCAAATTCTACTTTTAATGTCTTCCTTTGTAATTTCCCTGGTACTAGCACACACCGAGTAGATGTGGACTGACTGTTAACTCAGATGGGGACTTCACTTAGTCCTGTTCAAAGACTTATCTGCAAGTCACATTATGCTTCAGTTTGAATTGTAACTTCAGGCAGATAGTCTTGGTATAGGATTGAGTGGACATTATAAAAACATCCCCTGCCTAACGAAACCAAACACATAGTCCATGCTTGTAACTAACAGGTGCAAACCTAATTGGCAGTAACACTCGTATTGACAAACATATTAATTTTGAAAAGCTGGAACCACATTTGGTGGTTTTTGTGGTATTAAACACAGGTCAGGAGGATAAAATATGGTTTTAGGTTTTTTAAAGCTTTTAAATATAATTAATACCAAAAACAAAATGGCATAAAAATGCGCTATAGGAAGTCCTAGAGGTGACTTATGAGAGTGATCCAGTAGCTCTAACCAGCAACAAAAAGGCAACAGATGCAATTCATTGCAAAACCATTATTTGTTCCAGTGCCATGTCAATTGAATAAATTTAAAAGTAGACCCTTCTTACATAGTAATCATATCAAAATAGACAGTAACATTTAGTTAAGACGTGACTGCAGTTTCCCCTGAGGAACAATGCAAGATTTGTACATAAAAGGCAGGCTCCTCCATTAAATAGTTAAGATGTTCAGCATCCGTGGTATTTAGCTTTTAGATAATTCTGACCATGATTTCTCTCTGCATTGTTGTTGCTGTAAATACTTAGTAAGTGCAAATACCTCAGTTTATTTCCTTGTTGGACATGTGGAAACGTTTTTCTAATTATGGTTGGTGCTTTATTTAAAGGATAAGTATCAAGAATGTGTAGATTGATTTTCAAGCCTTTTCTCCAACAGAATAAAATACTTCGTTACTGAATAGTCTGTCTGAAATTGCTTATTTTGTGACCTGAACATAAACTTTCATTTTTTAATTTCTCTGTTTACTCAGTGTGTGTCTTTCTCCCAATCCAAATTATCCCTTTGAGTCTCCAATGTTTCTCTCCATCAATCTGGATGGAGGTTTCTTTGTTGTGCTGATGCATGAGCACCATGTCTGTTTTTCCCCTAAACTGACTGGGAGGACCCTGGCAACTTTCAGCAGTGGAAGAGATGATGGGAGCTTGTAAGGCAAGTACTGTAATAGTAGTGGGTGATCTTCATGGAGATTGGACAAATCAATTTAGTGAAAGTAACCTGGAGGATGAATTCATAGATATATTCAGGATAATAGTGATCGTAAAATTGGGGTTTGGTTAGCTAAGTTGGCTGGATGGCTTGTTTGCACTGCAGAGTTATGCCAACACCATGGGTTCAATTCCTACACTGTCTGAGGTCACCATTGAAGGAGTCTGCTTCTTAACCTCTACCTTTCACTGAGACATAGTGACCTGCAGGTTAAAGCCCCACAGTCATGTCTCTCTAATGAGAGAGCAGACCTTTAGTAATGGTAGGACTGTGGTGACTTTACATTTTTTATTATTATTATACCAATCCTAAAATCATAGAATTTAACATTCAGTTTGAGGTGAGAAATGTGTGTCCAAAATAGTGTCTTAAACTTAAATAAAGGCAATTGCAAAGGATATGAAGACAGAGTTGGCTAAAGTGGACAGGGAAAATAATTGGTAAGCAATTTGGCGAAGCTTCTTAGATGATAATTCATGACTCTCCACTATGGTATGGTTTGTTGAGAAAGAAAATCCCTGAGAAGGACGTACCATCCTTGGATAACTAGAGAAGTCGAGGATGATATTCAATTGAAATAAAGCCCTTGCAGACTCCACCAGCATCTCTCAATCTTACGGATGCCATCACCTCGTATAACAAAGGCAGCAGATACATGGGAACACCATCACTTTCAAGTTCCCCTCCAAGGAACATGGCATCCTGACTTGGAACTATGTTGCCATTCCTTCGTTAGTGCTGAGTCAAAATCTTGGAACTCCCTTACCAACAGCACTCTGGGTGTCCCTGCAGGTCTGCAGCAGTTCAAGAAGGCAGCTCACACCCACCTACTACAGAGCAATTAGGGATGGGCAATACATGCTGGCCTAGCCAGTGATGTCCTTGTGGCATGAACAAATTTTAAAAAAGGTAACGCTACAAAGATAAGGGGTAGGACAGAAGATTGAGAAATTTCTGGAAACCAGTGAAGGATGACTTTCTTTTTTTAATAAAAAAAGGAACTGGAGAATAAAAGAAAACTAGCAAAAACTGCAAAATAGGTAGGAACGCAAGTTATGAATCAGATACAAAGAACCTTCAAGGACTCTTGAGGAGCAGTGGTCATGTCCCTATCTCTGGATTAAGAGGCAGAAGTTCAAGTTCCACTTGCTCCAGAGGTCTGTCTTAACACTTCTGAACTGGCTGATTTAAAAAATATCTACAAAAAGTCTGAAAAGGGATTGATTGATAAGTTACACTCCATCTGCCAAATTTTTGACCGTTTAATGAGAGAAATTGAGGCTTGCATTGGCAAAAACAATGATGACCGGAATGGCCTAATTTTGCTCATGTATCTTATGGTCCTATATTGATTAGTGAGGGAATCAAAGGTTATGGGGAGAACGCAGGAGAATGGGGTTGAGAAACGTATCAGCAATGATCAAATGGCTGAGCAGACTTGATGAGCTGAATGGCCTAATTCTGCTCCTACATCTTATGGTCTAATGAGAATATTTAAATGAAGAGAAACTGACAATACTGCAATACATGGGAATCTGGGTAACAACATTTCACAAACAGAACCCAAGTACAGCAAGTAATTAGGAAAGCACTTGGAGTGTTGGCCTTTATTGAAAGAGTCTAAAAGTAACGAAATCTTACTGCAACTGTTCAGAGTATTTGTGCGATCACAAACTACTGTGTACAGTTTTGGTCACCTTACTTAAAGTAGGATCTTAGAATTAGCTTTATTGTCACCCACATGAGTGCAGTGAAAAGTTTACAAGTCGCCACTTAGTGCCATCTTAGGTACACATGTATCTAGGTACAGATCCCTAAGTATAAATTCTTAGGGAAAAAAAAAATGTCCAGCATTTCAGACCTTCACACCATCTTGGATACAAAATCATAAGAATAAATTAGAAAAAAAAGAAATAAAAAGTTCAGAATAACAGTCCTTCCAATGCAGTCTAGGCTGGAACTTCCCTTCAGTTCGTGCCAGCCCTCGTCTCCAGATGGTGCTGGCTTCACATCAAGGCTCTCCAGGCCAGGAATCCGTGCTGAGGCCACAAGTCCACTCTGGGGATCTAGTTTATCATTCAAGGGTTGGATGATCACGTTCATAGTCTGGGATGTTTGGTAGAGTTCCAGTGGCTATTCGATGAAGCAGAAGTCGATCTCTGCCTAGAAGGTTTTGCTGCAAAAAGACCAGAATACTGCAGATAGTTGACTTTCTGACAAGTAGCTGGGTCAGGATTTTCTCTTCCCTGTATTTTTCTCTCTGCTTCTGCTACGTACTTTCTTGTGAAGGAAGCTGCACTGTTCTTATTAATTTGATTATACCAAGTGCAGCGATCCTGGGTTAGCTTCTTCCCGGACTCAAAATCAAATCAAAACCTGTAAGTAAAGCCCCCAAACTGTCTTTGACCGCCACATGAGTGCACAAAGACTTGAGTTTTCTAAAGATTCCCACTGGTGTGTCAGACGCCATGGATAAATGGCCAGCCCAACTCAGTTGTGATTATAACAAGAATGCAAGAAATAGGGGAGCAGGCCATACGTCTCTTTGAATTCCTCTGCCTTGTGTATTTAAATTCATTCTTGTGTAGAATTTTGGCATTGCTGACAAAGGTTGCCTATCCCCAATTATCTTTGAACTGGGTGCTTTGCAAAGCTATTTCCAAGGGGCAGTTAAGGACTGTTGTCATAGATCTACAGTCACATGTAAACCAGATCAGTTAGAAATGGCAGACTTCCTTTCCTAAAAAGCATTAGTAAACAAAATTGGGTATTTACAGCAATAGTTTCATGGTCACTATTCCTGAAACTAGCTTTTACTTTCAGATTTTGTTAATTGAATTTGCATTGTACCAGTCACCTTGGCATTTGAACCTGTGTGCATACAGCATTGGATCACGAGTTCAGTCAGGTGACCATTGCACCATCATCTGCCATTTCTCTAATCCCAATTATAAATTCTCATTTGTCTGCTTGTGATAGACTCACATTTGGTTTTGCTAATCTTTCCCTTTCTACATGCTGATGAAGCTTTTACACTATATAAAATTCTAACAGGACAAAACAGGGAGGATGTTCCTGATGGGTGTGTCCAGATCCAGTGGTCACGCTATGAGGATTCGGGGTAGACTATTTAGGACGGAGATCAGGAGACATTTCTGCACCCAAACAGTGATGAGCCTGTGGAATTCATTACCACAAGAAGTAGTTGATGCCAAAACATTGAATGTACTCAAAAGGTGACTAGATATAGCACTTGGGGCAAATGGGATCGAAGGTTGTGGGGAGAAAGCAGGATTAGGCTATTGAGTTGGACGATCCTCCATGATCATGAAGAACGGCAGAGCAGGCTTGAAGGGCTGAATGGCCGTCTCCTGCTCCTATTTTCTATGTTTCTATGTCTATTTTAATGTTACTAGTTTAGTCTCATTCTATTTTCCCTTTCTTAATCATTTTCTTGGTAAAACGGTCCCATTTTTAGGCTTACCCTTTCTGGGAACTTTTTCCTTTTGAATCAATACAGTCCTTGAGTTTTTTTTTTGTTAGTCACAGCTGGAATATATTCCTTGATAGGCTTTTGTGCATTAAAAGGAATGTATTTTTATTGTAAACTGTAACGTTTTCTTACAGGTAGACCATTTCATGTCTACCATAGTATCTTTTACTATACTTTTCTAATCCATCAAGGCCAATTTTCCCCTCACGGCTTCAAAAACAGAAATTATTGGAAAAGCTCAGCAGGTCTGGCAGCATTTATAAAGAGAGATCAGAGTTAATATTTTGGGTTGAGTGACCCTTCCACAGAACGGCCCCTCATAGCTTGGCAGGTTCCTTTGTTTAAAATTTAAGACCCTAGTTTTTGGATGAATTATAACATTTTAAAACTTTTTATATTATGGTCACAATTTTCTAAAGACTTCTTTGAGAAGAAGAATATTAGTTAGCTCTTTCTTATTGCACAGTTTTGATTTGAAATTGCCCTTTCTCTTGTTGGTTTCTTAATGTATGGCTCTAGAAAGCCATCTCCTCTAAATTTGAAAAATTCACCCTAAACAACATTAGACACAATGCAGTGCCTTTAAACATGGGGAGGCTGTTGTTCTGCCACTACCACATTAATCTGACTGATCAAGAAATTCTCCTACACCTGTCTCTTGCCCTAGGTGTATTTGGAAAGACTTACAGATTGATAATTGACCTGCTGAACTATTTACAACATGCTATGAACAGCTGTCATTCCTGAGATAGGACTTAAATTTGGCCCAGAAGTGGGGAACATACCACAAGACCTCTTGGAAGGAAAGTAATGTTGAGGTAGTAGATCATCTATGAATGGCATATCAGGTATGAGGAGCTATAAAACATACTTGTGCTCCTATTTCTTATTTTCTCATGTCCCTTTAAGTGGATATAGGAGATTCTACAACAGGGGTGCCCTCCTGTTGCTCTGACAGCTTTCATTGCATGGTTGATCTTAATTGAACATCAATCACACTGCTGTTTATGGGCGTTTACCATGTACAAGTTGACTGAACATTTTGGGAAGTTGTGGGCAGTGAGACACACAAGAACAGTTTCTCTTTCTTTACTTGTTTTCTCCCTACTGAACTTCATCCATTTTTTGCTAACAAATGAAATCGTTCACTTTCAGTACCAAACAGTATTCGTACTCACCAAAACAAAACCTCCCCCTCGGGCAAAATTTACTTAAATTTATATCTGCATCTCTACAGTAAGAAGTTACAACTAAAAATATGGGTTATGGTAGTTTAATGATATGCTGAATTGTTCTCTGAAGAGGTTGAAATTAATTTTCAAATACAATATTCACACCATCCGTAAGGCTTTTGTATTTCTACTTCTGTAATGGCACCTGACTCCATACTGCTTCAGCTCTTTGTTACCTGTAGACTTGACTATTCTAATGCAACCCTGGCTACGCTCCCACATTGTAAACTCTGTAACAAAAACTGAAATTGCTGGAAAAGCTCAGCAGGTCTGGTGGCATCTGTGAAGAGAAATCAGAGTTAACGTTTTGGATCCGGTGACCCTTCCTCCGAACACACTAAACTCTGTTCAAACAATCAAAAACTCTGCTGCTCGTGTCCTAAGTCTCACTATATAATTCATTCATCACCTTGAGCTCGCTCATCTACATTTAACTCCCAGTTAAGCAATGTCATGATTTTAAAATTCTCATCCCTTCATGGTTTCAATGCTCCCATCTCTAATCTCTTCAGAACTACCTCTCACCGAGATATCTGTGTCCCTCTAATTTTGGCCTTTTGAGCATCCCCTACGCACAGCATCAAACTACTGTTACTTCAGCATTCAGAACAGAAATGAAAAGTGTTACACACACAATGTAAAGCACAGAAATTATCCAATAAGGCAACTAGTCTGTGGTTTTTATGTTGCACACAAGCCTTCTCCTACCTTTCTTCATTGATTCAGATTAATAACCTCCTATTCCTATTGTCTACACTTATGTCCTATGTTTATTGAACCTCCAGCAGAAATGCACCAATATTATTCACCTTTTTATGTACTAATGTGGGAGTTCCACATTCTCATCAATCTCTAGATTAAAAATGTTGCCCATGAATTCCCTATTCCTAATTAGTGACTAATTTCTATTGATGGTAAGTGAGAAAATCAATTTTTTATGGAAACATTTGATGGGATAAATGGAAAGGCCTCAATCAGTTTACCCTGAGTAATATTGTGTAGTAACTAGTTTTAATGTAAGGGAAAATTTTCTATTCAGTCAGAACGTACTTTATTTCTTCTGTAATAAATATATAGTCTATCTATATGATGTCACAGATATTGTTTTGATGTCATAATGCAAAATTATTGCTCTAAGTATTTCCATATTAATAAATACCTGTCAATGAGCTATCATCAAGGAGATTTGTGCTTGAAGCCAATTAAGGAGAGGATGTCGGACTGGAAGACTTACATCAATAGTATATTGAAGGATATGAATGTGGAAGATGCTGCCATTGTGGGCCATGCTGACAACAAGTCCTCCTGGGCTTCAAAGCCCGGAGGTGTGCTGGCTGCCATCTCCCCACAGGAGGTCAGCATGTTAACAGGACAGGATCGCAAGGCATTCTTACAAACTGGCATCAACATCGCAGGAAAGAAATGTTCTGTCATCAGGGACAACCTCATGGTCAACAATGATGAAGTGATGGACGTGAGGATGAAGGGCAGTCAAGGCAAGAGCATCTGCATTGGCAAAACTATCAAGATCATGGTGTTTGTGACAGGCAAAAAGGGTGTTCATGGTGGAGCGCTCAATAAGAAAGTCCACGAGGTGGCCAAATATCTGAAACAGAGGGGCATCTAAAAGAAAGCTAATGTCAGGATTCTTGGAACATTGCAATTTCTAAACTGATAATAAATTCTACTTTAATACAATCTTTTATTTTTGTAGTGTCTGATTTGCAGGTATTAAAAATATTTTAGTTGCAAAATAGTTTTAATGTTCGAAAAAGATAACTTTCTACCCCTGAGAGGTTGTTCCCTGTTCAGAGATAAGAGGCATTTCTCACAATTCTTTAAATGTTGTGATTGTTTCTGCTTCTATCACCTTCCCTGGCATGGTGTCCCAGGCACTTACCATCCTTTGCGTATTAAACTTGCCTTGCACATTTCTCAAACTTTTCCACCCTCTCACTTTAAACCTATGCCGCCTAGGATTTGACATTTTACCCTAGGAAAAAGACTGCAATGATCCACCCTATCCATGCCTCTCAATTTTATACAGTTCTTTCAGGTTACTCCCAGCCACCATGCTCAAGCAAAAACAATTCAAATTTTATTGTTAATGCACTCCAATTCAGGCAAGATCCAGGTAAGCCTCTTTTGCACCCTCTCCAAGGCCTTCACATCCTTCCTTAAGTGTTGTGAGCAGAACTGCTCACAATGTGCTAAATGTGACCTAACTAAAGTTTTATATAGCAATGATTTTGAGGGCAGTTAAGAGTCCACCATATTGTTGTGTCTCTGGAGTCACATGTAGGCCAGACCAGGTAAAGACGGCAGATTAAAGATAACAGTATGGAGCTGGAGGAACGCAGCAGCATCAGAGGAGTAGGAAAGTTGACGTTTCGGGTCGGGACCCTGCTTCAGAAAACACAAGTTCAGATTCCCACCATAGCCCCTGCCCAGGGGGAAAGACGATAAACTTTGAAATGAACATGCTGGAGCTCAGTTTTGAAGAATACAAGACCAGGCAGGCTAGTATGCCTCATTTACACAAACAGAAATGGCTGAAAAAGCGCAGCAGGTCCGCGGAGCGGAAGTTAACGTTTCGGGTCCAGTGACCCTTCCTCAAACTAGTATGTCTCACTTGCCAGTTTTACTGGGTTTTGCTTCCAGGTGGCAAGATTTAAATTCAGATAATTCATAAAAATCTAGAATTGAAATCTCAATAATGAGAACTATCATCAATTGTCATAACAATGTATCTGGATCACTTACGTTTTTCAGGGAAGGAAATTCCCTAAAATTTCTGAAAGGTCCAGACCCGAAACGTCAGCCTTCCTGCTCCTCTGATGCTGCTTGGCCTGCTGTGTTCATCCAGCTCTACACCTTGTTATCTCTGACTCTAGCATCGGTAGTTCTTACTATCTCTATCACAGATGGCAGATTTCCTTACATTATCACTTTAACACTGTCTACCCTCCAGTGGGACAAGAGTCAAGAGGGAGCAGGCAGGGTGATCCAAACTGTTCAACAACATGCCCAGACATTGATGACATCAGTGAGAATAAACCTTCTCCTGGACCGAATGACCAGATATGTTGACTGCCATCTGGACAGGGAATGCCTCCGTCAGATAGTGAGTGATCCTCGGATAACGGGACCCCCCGGGTAGTGAGAGTGACCCTCACTGAGGAAGCGGAACCTTTGTGAGGGAGGAGGCGGAGCCTGGGACTGTTGTGGCGGTTGCTCTTTGGCGGCGCGCACGATTGGGAGAGAGAAAAGAATGAAGAAGAAAGAGCGCGGGGCCGGCGGCTCAGGGTCAGGCCGAGAGCGGGGAAAGGAGGTCCTGGTGTTCAGCGAGGATGCCCGGAGGTGAAGGAGCGGAGCTGGGGAAGGTGAAGAGGGAGGGTTGAGGGATAGGAGTGGGGGGAAGGGGGTTGAGGGATAGGAGGGGGGGGAAGGGGGTTGAGGGAGGGGGGGGGGGGGGGGGGGGATGGGGGGAGGGGGGGGGAAGGGGGAGGGGTGACGAGTTGAGGTGAATCGAGCAGTGGAGTTCAGTCAACATTGGATTTGCCGTGATCTTACCTAATGGCAAACCAGCATCGAAAAGCTGAATCTTGTTCAGTTCATACATAAAATGTGGATATTGCTGGCCTGGCATTTATACCCATCTTTAATTGCCTGGATGGCTTGGAGAAGTTGATGGTGAGCTGCTTTCTTGAACCACTGTTATCCTTAAGCTGTAGTGACCCCTAAAAACCACCACAAACTCCTAGTTCACGTGACTTCCTGTGGGCTGTGGTCATTCTGATATTTATAAATCATTCTGTTTTTTTCATGTATTTTTAAGGGAGTTTCTGACCGGCTTTCACAAGCGTAAGGTGGAGAGGAGGAAAAAGGCTTTGGAAGAAATTAAAGTGAAGCTGAAGGAAGAACAGAAACGAGTGAAAGAGGAGGTGGGAATCGTGATTGACCCATTCAGTTTGACAGACACGATTACTCTAAAACAGCAACTTACATGAGTTTTTTAAATTTGTGGGATGTAGGCATTGCTGGATGGCCAGCATTTATTTCTGGTCCCTAGCTGCCCTTGAAAAGGTGCTGGTGAGCTGTCTTCCTGAACCGTTGCGGTCCTACAGTTGCTGTAGTTGATCCACAAAGACATTAGGGAGGGAATTTTGTTTTCTTTTCCCAGTTGATACAACTGAGAGGCTTGCTACATGGTCATTAAGAATCAATCACATTACAAGGACAGATTGGACTTGGGATGGAGATAAGGACACATTTCTGCACCCAAAGAGTGGTGAGCCTGTGGAATTCCTTACCACATTTTGATGCAAAAACATTGAATATATTCAAGAGGCAGTTAGATATAGCACGTGGGGCGAATGGGATCAAAGGTTATTGGAAGAAAGCTGGATGATCAGCCATGATTGTGATGAATAGCAAAGCAGTCTTGAAGAGCTGAATGGTCTCCTCCTGCTCCTATCTTCTGTGTTTCTAAAGGGCATTAATAAACTAGATGGATTTTTATGACAATCCATAATGGTTTTACATTCATCATTAGAATTTTAATTTCAAATTTTATTGAATTGAAATTCTACTAACTGCTGTAGTGGGATTTGAACCCAGGTCCCCAGACCATTACTTGGGTCTCTGGATTACTAGTCCAGCATATTAACATACTAAGCAACAACAATTTATATAACACTTTAACATGATGACAACAACTACTTGTATTTATATAGCATTTTAAATACCAAAATGTACCATAAAAGGAGATAGTGTAATCAAAAGATAGTGGTCTATGGGCCAGATTGTTAGAGTCAGAGTCATACAGATAGAAACAGGCCCTTCCATCAATCGTGTCTATTCCAATGAACAAACACCACACTTCATTAATCCCATTTACCTGCATTGTGCATTGCGTTTTAATTACTCATCCAGATGCTTCTTAAATGTTGCAACAGTACTTGCCTAATTGAAGTCCATGTAAATCACATTAACTTCACTATCCTCATCAATATATAGTCACCTCAAACTCAATTAACGTAGTCAGGATCTCCCTGTAACAAATTTGTGCTGACTATCCCTGACCAATCCCTGTTGATTAATCCTGTCCTTCAGAATTCTTTCCAATAATATCCCTACCAATAATGTCAGACTAACCGGTCTGGTAACTATCTGGCTTATCTCTGCTGTCCTTCTTGTAAAAGAACCCACTTTAGCTATCTTCCAGTCATTTGGCACTTCACCTATGGCCAGTGAAGTATTAAATATATCCTCCAGGGATCCAGCAATCTCCTTTCTTGTTTTCCATGGTGGGGGTTGGTATGCATCTCTTCAAGAGCCTGGGGAATTATGTCCGCTAGAACATTTAATACCTCCTCTTTACTAATCTTAATGTGTTCTAGAACCTCACCTTCCAACTGATATCCCTGGCTACAACATCATTCTGGTCCGTGATACAGATGAAAAGTATTCATTTAAGACCTCTCCCACATCCATTGGCTCCAATCACAGGTTGCCATAGTGGTCTCTGATAGGTTCAACTCAGTTCCTGGTAATCCTTTTATTCTTAATGTACTTGTGAAAAGCTTTTGGATTTACTTGTTCCCATCTGCGAAAGATATTTCGTAGCCCTTTTATAAGCCACCTTTTACACCTGTATACTTTTGAAGTGTCTCCCCAGTTTTTAATTCATCGTACTTGATGTATGTATCCTTCTCTGTTTCTTTATCAGATGCTCGATATTTCTTAACATTCAGGATTCCCTCACGTTCCTGCCCATGCCCTTAAGAGGAACAAGCTGGCCCTGAATTCTTACTATACTAATTTCCACTTTCCAAATGTAGACTGGGTTTAGGATATTCAGACTGGGTTTAGGATATTCTGTCTGGGCTGCAGAGGAACTTGGAGTGAGAGAGGAAAGATCCAGTTGTTGTGGTCCATGTAGATACCAACAATGCAGGTAGAACAAGGAAAACGTTATCATTGAGGAAACATGAGCAGCTAAAGGCCAAATGAAAAGCAGAACCAAAAAAAGCGATAATCTCCAAACTACTACCTGAGTCATGAGCAAATTGGCACAGGGTCAACAAAATTTAAGAGTTAACACATGACTCAAAGATTGAAGTGGGAGAAATGGGTTTGAAGGCATGAGTTATTTGACACTAGTACTGGGGAAGGAGGAATCCGTTCTGATGGAATGGCCCCACCCGAATCATGCTGGGTTCAGAATCCTGGTGAATTGCATTACTAGAGATGTAGACAGAACAACTGTGGGTTCAATTGCATGGAAAGTACAAAGATCAAAGGTAAAAAAGAAGGTAGGATCACAGATTAGTGATAGGACGATTGTTACAAGAAAATAGAAGAAAGGGACAGAATGTGTGAATGTCAAATTGCACCAAGGAAGCATACAAACATAGGGAAATTTGATCATAGAATGACCTTAAAGACTTTACATCTTAATGCCTGAACGACTCAGAATAAAGTAGACAAACTGATGGCACAATTCGAGGTAAATGAATGTGATCTTGTAGCTGTTATGGAAACATGATTACAAAGAGATCAATACTGTGAACTTAACGTTCAGGGATATTTGACCTTTTGGAAAGATTAAAGGGATGGAAGAGGTGGTGGGGTAGAACTGTTAATAAGATGAAATGAGGACAGTTGTGAGAGTCAGAGTCCTACAGCACGGAGGCAGGCCCTTCAGCCCAAACTGGTCTATGCCGACCAAAATGTCCATCCACTTTAACCCCATTTCCCTGCACTTGGCCCATACCCTTCTCAACCTTTCCTGTCCGTGTATTCTCCAAATGCCTTTTAAATGTTAACGTACCCACCTCAACCACTTCCGCTGGCAATTCGTTCCATATGCGTACCACCCTCTGCGAAAAAAGTTGTCCCTCAGGTTCCCATGTGTTCTTTCCCCTCTTAGCTTAAACTGATGCCCTCTAGTCCTTGATTCCACAACCCTGGGAAAATGACTGAATGCATTCACCCTATCCATGCCTCTCAAGATCTTATACACTTCAATAAGATCCCCCCTCAGTCTCCTTTGCTCTAAAGAAAAACGTCCTAGCTTGTTCAACCTCTCCCTATAACTCAGTCCCTTGAGTCCTGGCAAAATCCTTGCAAATTTCTTCTGCACTCTTTCCAATTTAATAACATCCTTCCTATAGTAAGATGACCAAAATTGAACACAATACTCCAAGTGCAGCCTCACCAACGTCCTGTACAACTGCAACATAACTTACCACTTCTATATTCAGTGCACTGACTGATGAACGCCAGTGTGCCAAATGCCTTCTTCACTGCGTTGTCTACCTGTGACCTCTTACCTGAGCTCCAAGGTCCTTCTGTTTCACTACACTCCTTAAGGCCCCACCATTCACCATGAAACTCCTACCTTGATTTGACTTTCCAAAATGCATCACCTCACACTTATCTGTATTAAACTCCATTTGCCATTTCTTGGTCCACTTCCCCAGCTGATCAAGATGCTGCTGCAATTTCTGATAACCTTCCTCACTGTCCATGATACCGCCTAGAGACATTCTAGTCTCGGATGATGTAGAGTTCATTTGGATCATAGGATTATAAAATCCCTACAGTGCGGAAAGAAGCTTTCTGGCCCATCAAATCCACACTGACCCTCCGAACAGCATCCCACCTGGATCTAGTCCCCAGTCCTTCCCTGTAACCTGCATTTACCGTGGCTAATCCACCTAACCTGTCCATCCCTGAACACCCCATGGCAATTTAGCATGGCCGATCCACCTGATTTGCGCATCTTTCTGCTGTGGGAGGAAACTGGAGCACTTAGCGGAAACTCATGCAGACTTGGGGAGAATGTACAAACATGGTCTGGGTGGGATGCTCCTTGCCGAGTTAGTGTGGACTTGATGGGCTGAGAGGCCTGCTTCCACACTGTAGGGTCATATGATTCAAAAGTCAGTCATAGACCCAAAGACTGTGATAAGTTTAGAATCTGGCAAAAATAATAGAAAGAAAATAAACTATAAGGACAAACTAGTTAAGAATATAAAATCTGACAAGAGCTTCTTTAAGTATATAAAGAGAAAGGTCAAAGTGAACATAGACCTCTTAGAAAATGAACCTGGGGTGATGGTTATGGGGAACAATGAAATCAGTCTTTACGGTGGAAGATACTTCAAACATCCGATTGATACTAAAGAATATGGGGAAGGAATTTAGTGACATCACCATCACTAGAGAAGTAGTATTAGACAATCTAATGGAGCTGAAGGTAGCTAAAACCACTGGGCCTTGTGCCTTGTATACTAGAATCCTAAAAGAGGTGGCTACAATGATGGTGGATGTATTCGTTGTAATTTTTCAAACATTTTTAGATTCTGGAAAGTATCAGAGGATTGAAAAACTGACAATCTGACACCTCTATTCAAAAAGAGAGTAAACCAAAAAGCGAGTAACTTTAGGCCAATTAGCCTGAAATCTATTGTTGGAAAAGTTTTGGAATCAACTATTAGGGATATAGTAGCAAAACATTTGGAAAATCACAGTCTAATCAAGCAGAGTCAATATTGGTTCATAAAAGGAAGATCAAGCCTAACTAATTAGCATTTTCAAGTCTCACCCAGAGTGGATTGAGGGGAACCAGTAGATGTGTTGAATTTGGATTTCCAAAAGGTATTTGACAAGGTATTTCTCAAAAGTTTAAGTCATAAGGTAGGGGCTCATGGTGTTGCAGCTATTAATAGAGAATTGGCTAATGTACAGGAAACAGCAAATGGGGTAAGGGATTCCTTTTAAGGTTGGCAATCAATGACCAGTGGGCTTACACAGGGATCAGTGCTAGGTCCGGAACTGTTTATAATATGTTGATGACTTGGAAGAAAGAAGCAAATGTACTGTAGCCAAATTTGCAGAAGACACAAAAATAAGTGAAAAGGTAAGTTGTGAGAGAGATATTGATAAGTTAATTAATTGGGCTAAAAGTTGGCAAATTGAATATAATGTGGGAAAATGTGAAGTTATTCATTTTGCATGGGAGAACAGCATTATTTAAATTGAGAAAAACTGCAACGCAAAGGGAGTTGGGGGTACTTGTGCATGAAACAGAGAAAGCTAGCATACTAGCGTAGCAGGTGATCAGGGAGGTTAATGGAATGTTGGTGCTTATTTCACAGAGGTTGGAGTAGAAGAGTAGGAATGTCTTACTGTAACTTTACAAGGTGCTGGTGAGACCATATCCAGAGTGCTGTCAGCAGTTTTGGTCACCTTTATTTAAGAAAGCAGTTCAGAGAAGGTTCACTTGGATGATTCCCAGTATAGAGGGATTGTCTTATGAACAACAGCTAAACAGGTTGTGACTTTACACATTGGGATTTAGAAGACAAGTGATCTTTATTGAAACATATAGGGTTTGACAGGGTGAATGCTGAGCGAATGTTCCTCCTCGTGGAAGAGTCTCAGAATAAAGGGACATCAATTTAAGTGTCAGTGGGTTAAAGAGTTCTTGGAAATCCTCCCACAGAGTCTTCAGGAATATTTAAGGCTGAGAAAGACAGATTCTTAATCCGTAGGGAATCAAGGGTTATGGAGAAAACTTAGGCAAGTGGATATGAGGAATGTTGAATTAGCCATGATCCTGTTGAATGGGGCTGAATAGCCTGTTCCTATTTCTTACGGTCATACGATCAATGCAAACAGCTTCCAGTAGGCTCCAAAGAGTATTCATTTAATTCTTCTTACTGAAATTCCGTTCTCCGAACTTTGAGTAAGTTGATAATGGGAGAATAGCCAGTGAGCAATCAAACCTCTGTCCTGTAGCTTTGGCAGCCACAATCATTCTGACAAAAACACAGTTCAAAATCAGTGCAAACTTTGGTTTCTCTTTCTGTTTTTCCTTTTACAACATTTTCTTTGTTAGATTGGTTAACACCCTGAGGGCTCATTATCCAGTCATCTGCCATCTGTTTGAGTGTAATGCATCTCTGGAACAGGAAAATCCACAGCATTCTCTGAACAAGAATCAACCTTCAATTAACTTCCAAGCCTGTTTGTCCTTTATTTTTAAAAGCAAGCTGCTGCTCACAGCTGAAAGATCACCTTCAGTTCTCAGCTCACAGTTCACAACTCCAAACCAAAAATGATAAAAATAAAAATAATAAAGGTCTCAACAGGACATACGGTTTGGTCAAAGAGATAAGTTTTAAAGTGTTTCTTGAAGGAGAAAAGTGAGATTACTTAGTCTTAAGAAGCATTTACAAAGCAGAAACGGGCTATTTGCCTCAAGAGATCTACTCTGATGCTAAGGTTCCACATGAATCTCCGCTCACCCTCGACCTCAACCCCATCTTTCTATTGCTTTCTTCCTTATGTTTATCTTGCTTCGTCTTAAATGTACCTGTGCTTGTTGCCTCAACCCCTCCGTGTAGTTGTGGTGGTGAGTTCCATGTTGAGCCAATTACCGAGTACAGACGTTTCCTCTAAATTTCCTATGAGATTTGTTAATGACTATGTTATATTAATGATTCTGAGTCCTGGTCTCCCTCACATGCAGGTTTATTCAGCAAGAATAGCAGCATGGGCAAGCTGTTTTACTGAGGGAAGGAATTTGAGAATTTGTTGCCTTGGCAGTTGAAGACATGGCTTCTATTGGTGAATTGCTGAAAATTGACTGTGTACTATTAAATAATGCTAACTTCCTAACCTATACTCTTTACTGACTTGCAGAGACACAAAGAATATTTGAAGATGTTCAAGGAGAGACAAGAAGCTTTAGGTAACTTCGACCTACTAGTGTGACTGAGCTGGTTTCAAGCTCAGTTTCCCAGTTTTTGTTGAGTTGTGCAGTCAAGGGACGACTCTTCCTGAGATACTGGTTTTTAAAAAATGTATCCGAACATGTAATCTATAACCACAGGTAGTTGACTGTAGCATTGACCTGCTATGATGGCTCAACAGTGGAGCCTGGAGCAGCCTGGACCAGTGAAACCAAGTCTTGTTCAAGAGCAGTGAAGGATGGGTAACAAACGCTGATGCCAGTGACATCCACATCCCATAAAAGAGTAAAGAGAACCTCCTGTTTCTTGATTTTCAATGTCTGTAACCACTTTTCAAGAAAACCTTAAATTTTCTTTTGGAAAAAAAAATACCAGAATTAGGATTACGTTCTGCCCTTTGAATTTTGTCTGCCACTTGATAAGATCTTGACTGGTCTGTTTGTGACTTTCATTCTACTCTTCTGCTTGTCGCCCACAATCCTCAATTTCCTTTTAGACCAGAAATCTGTCTATCGCGGATGCTTACTCATCCAGCCTCCACTGTTCCACAGACTAATGATCCTCTGAGAGATATTAAAAAAAAAACTTCAGGGGTAATCGTAAAGCTTTAAACTATATCCTCTAGTTCCATTCTCCCCCATAAGGCAAAACATCCTTTCAGGATCTATATGTTTCAAAAAGATCGGGTGAGGCGAGAGTGACTAACTTTGATATCAAGGCAAGATTTGATTGACTGTGGCTTCGAGGAGCCCTAGCAAAACTGGAGTCATTGTGAACTTGGGATATCTCTCTGCTTGTACGGATGCTATGTGATACAAAGGAGGATGGTCATGGTTGTTGGAGGTCAGTATTCTTGTTTCTAGAACATCTCTGCAGGAGTTCCTCAGGTGCTGTCCTAGGCCCTGCCATCTTCAGCTGTTTCATCAATGACCTTCCCTCTGTCATAAGAACAGAAATGGGGATGTTCACGGATGACTGCACAGCGTCCAGCACCATTTGTGTTTCTTCAGGTGCCAAAGCAATCTATATCCAAATGCAGCAAGACCTGGACCTGGACATCCTTTCCTCCTGTCCACACATCAGTCCCTCCACTGTCAATTTTAAGGTAGTGAAAGGTGCTTGAGTAATTGCAAGTTATCAACACTATAGTTCCTTTCATGGCCTTGCAGTTTCCATTTAAAGCCAATTTAGCACTTTTGTACAACCTGTCTGCATACCTTGAATCTACCTGCAATGTGGACTTCCTTGGCGAGTATGCTGCAAGATGATTGTATTGTTTCTTATTTACTTACAGAGGAAGCTGATGAGTTGGATCAAATGACAGCATCCAAAATGGAATCCATTCAGTATGACCATCCAAACCACACTGTCACTGTAACAACGGTTAGCAGTTTAGATTTGACTGCTGCCAATTTGTACCTTGGTGCAAACCAGGTGAGTTAGAGTTGAAGTTTAAGTACAGGACTACTGCATAGGATATGGCACACAAACAAGCCATTTGGCCCATGATCATACCATATGCTCCATTTGAGCCTTCTCCCATTCCCCCATCTAAGCCTCTAGAACCATAGAATCTCTACAGCATTTAAGCAGGCCATTCGGCGAATTGAGTCTACACTGACCCTCCAAAGAGCATCTTACCCAGAACCACCCCCTATTCTATCCCTGTAAGCGTGCATTCCCCATGGCTAATACACCTAACCTATATATTTCTGGACAATATGGGTAACTTAGCATGGCCAGTCCACCTAACTGCACATCTTTGGATTGTGGGAGGAATCCCACGCAGGCATGGGGAAAATGCACTAACTCAACAGACAGTTGCCCGAGGGTGGAATCCAAGCCGGGTCCCTGGCACTGTGAGGCAGCAGTGCTAACCATTGAGCCACCGTGTTATCCTCTATTCACTTCTTCAATTGTCTAGTTTCTCCTTGAGTACGTTAATTCGGTTTCACTTCGGCCAATCTCTCTGGTAACGAGTTTCACATTCTCGCCATTTATTGGGTTAAATTTCTTCTGAATCCCCTATTGGATTTCCTCGTGTCTGTCATATGTTGATCACCTCTAGTTATACTCTTCCCCACAAGAGGAAACATTCGCTTTGTATCCCCTTCAAATGTTTTCATAATTTTAAAGATCTGTAAGGTCACATCTCAGCCTTTTATTTCCAAGTGAGAAAAGATCTAGCCTGTCAATCCTTTCCAGATCTGGATACCCTTGCATTTCTTGTGTTGTCCTCTCCTGTGCCTCAGATATCATTTTTGTAATATGATGAATAAAATTGCAGACATTACTTTAATTGTGGTCTAACCAGGGTTTCATACAGTTTGAGCATGACTTTCCTTTATTTTAAAATCCTGCTCCTCTTTAAGTAAAGCATGATATTCGGTTGGTTGTTTTTATATTGGTCTTGCTAACCTGTGGTGCAACTTTTAGTGGCTGACGTATTTACGTTTGATAAATACAGGTAAAAATGTCATTAAGTTGTGGAGTACATTGTCTACAAGAAATTACTAACTTCTTAAAAACTGTTGTTTAAGCTTTTAGAACAATGGAAATCCTTCATTTCATAGAATAGATCACAGAATCCCTAAAGTGTGGAAACAGGCCCTTCGGCCCAACAAATCCACACTGATCCTCAGAGCAACCCACCCAGACACATTCCCCTATAACCCACCTAATCTACACATCCCTGAACACTACGGGCAATTTAGCATAGCCAATCCACCTAACCTGCACATCTTTGGACTGTGGGAGGAAACCGGAGCACCTGGAGGAAACCCACACAGACACAGGGAGAATGTACAAACTCCACACAGACAGTCGCCCAAGGGTGGAATTGGACCTGGGTCCCTGGCACTGTGAGGCAGCAGTGCTAACCACTGAGCCACCGTGCTGCCCCAAAAAGTGGATAAAGTTTATGCAATCAGTTCTGATGAAGAATATCCTGTCTAAGCATCAAAATGTTATAACCTGTTACTAGAAGTACTGATTTGATGGTATTGTTTCTGACTGCAGTTTTTTTTTCAATTCTTTCACCCAGGTTGTCTACTGAGTGCATCTACAGGCAGAGACCTTGTAGGCCATTGTTCCATAATGCTGTTGCTGTTTTAGATGTTTGGTTGGGAGAGCTGGGGAGTGCTTTCTATTTATAGGGCTCTGATACATTATTCAGGAAATATAAGCAAAGTACCCAGGACATTTTACTTAGTGGAAATCCATTGTAGACAAAGAATTAACACTGACTTTTAAATTTGAAGCTTCACACCATAAACACTGTGGGTGTCATTATTTTGAATGTTAAAATCAGCACATTGATTTCCCCCTCAGATGTATTTTTAAAATCCTAAGGCACTGTTTTGCGACAGTAGTTGAGTTCTCCCCTTGTTCTGGTCACCAGTGCTTATCTGTCAACTAATATCGATTGTTCATTTGTCTCATTCTTTCTTGAGGCATCTTATTGTGCCCAAATTGCTTGCTGTGTTTCCTTACATTACTACAGTGTCAGCATTTGAAAAGTGGCCATAAGGCACCTTGGAATGCCATGAGTAAATTTTAAAACAATGTGCTACATAAGCGCAAGCTCTTGCTTCCAAATGTCAATGAGAAATTTTCTGAATGCATGATGGATCTTACAGTAGGAACTTCAATTTAACTATGATGCTGTTGCAGCAACAGTTTGCTTTTATACAGCACCTTTAACATAATGAAATATCCCATGGCACATGACAGAAACATTACTTAAACAATGAAGTCAAAAGTCTGACACCAAACAACATAGAGTTAATTGGGCAGGTGATCAAAAGTTTGGCCAAAGACGTTGCTTTTGAGAAACTTCTTAAAGGAGCAAAGCAGTGTTGAAGTGTGGGAGGTTTAAGGATGGGATCCCAGGGCTGAAGGCTCACCTCTTCTTAACAATGTCCTGTGTAAACAAGATTTTGGTTGCTTGATCTCTCATAGCTGCATTCTTTTTATCTGAAGTAGAGCCAATCTCAAAAGCAGCTTTGCTCCATTTTTGCTCTTAAAGCACAAAATTGAAGACTTTGCACTGAATGTTGGAGATTACGATTTGTCTCTCACTACTACCTTTGATTGAGTGTTGGGTTTAACCCCTCAAATATGATTTTATTCTCATGTTACCAAATAAGGCATGTGTTTTATTTTGTTGTTTATCTTTGAAGCCTGAAGACATTGAGGGAGAAGAGATGGTGAAGAGAGATGATCTGAACGTGAAAAGAGACAATCCTGTACCAAGGAAAGGAGCTGAACCCATAATGTCTGCAAAGTAGGTGGAATATTTGAGGACCTGATCCTTCATTGGGTCCAGAGCAGAAAAAAGGTCAGACTATGTCAAAGATAAAGATGGTAAAGTGTGGAAAAAGGCAAAGTTCAACAAGGTTAGTAGGGATCTGACCCATAATGGTTCATCAGAAAAGCTAGCAAATAATTGTACTGCCAAATCTTCAAATATCCAAGAGTACCAAGTCAATACATTCCTCCCCATTGATCAAAATAAAATTGATTGAAAAATAATTGATACTTTAAAATGTGAGGCACATGTTAAAAATGAGGTTTAAAACATTGAGAATCATTGAAAGCTTAATTGATTTGGATGAAAGGAAGTTAGAAGGCCTAAAAAGAAGAAGAAATGTGAAAAAAAAATCCTTTTAGGTAATATAAAGCTAGTGCCTACATAAGTTAAGAAAGAAGAAAAACTAGAACAGGAGACCCTCTTTGTAAAGAAAAGTGAGTCGAAACATATGGGATGAAGGTATAGTAGAACCATGAAATATTTCATTTTGTCCCTCAAAAATGCTGGTGGAAGTGTCAGTAAAGTTGTTTTGGCGGAGGTTATGGAACAAACGATCAAGGTAACAATAGAACCTTGTGAAGCAAGAATTGGTTCTTTGAAAATTAACTGAATTTTGGAGGGTAGATTGGGCTGAGGTGGGTTGGGGATGGTATTACTAATATTGAAGGAAAGTGCAGCGTTATATAAGACAATGTCAGAAAACCTGCAGACTGGATGGTTAAATGGTGAATGGACTATAACAGATATAAATATGAACTGAATGGAAAGAAGAGTAAAGAATTGAGAGGTATTGCAGGCCAACAAATCAATTAAATCAATTCTTACTCCAGGTACTTTGCCCTGAAGGAGTATTAGTGACCATGGACTTGTGTGTAGGTTCATGATTATGCTTGGCAATGTACTGCAGTAGTTTGTTATTGATTGCTGTTGATCGCTGACCAAGAGTTTCTTTCCCCTTTCCTCCTGGCTTCAGTGTGTTAGATATATTATAAGTTGATACTCAAACCTGTTTGGCCACGTTATGAATGCACATTTCTTGGTCAAGTCTTGAGATGGTTCCTGAAACTGGAGCTGCTGGCTCAGAGGCAGAGACGCTACCCACTGTGCCATAAGTTATCTGCCAGCAAATTATTTAAAACTGCTGGAAAAAGAAAGCACAGAGGTTTATTTCTCAGGGTGTAGAATTGAAAAGTAGTGAAATTACATTAGTTGGATTGATGTAAGAGGATGGGATGCTTATGGTATGATGAGGGACTAGTTCCAATGCAATACTGAAGAATTAGGAGATTCAATAAATTTTACTGTTAATGTACTTACTACTTAATAAATTAATGCATGGATGAATAAGGAAAGACACTTTTCTCTTAGTTGGGGATCACTGAAAAAAATTAGGAGGAATTTCTTTTTGGATTGTTGGAATTTGATAATTTTTTATAGAATCATAGAATGGTTACAGCACAGAGGAGGCCATTTAGCCTGTCAACCACATTGGCGGCAGCTCTCTGCAAGAATAATTCAGATATTCCCATTGCTCCTTTCTTTGCTTGTAAATCTCCAATTTTATTTTTAATCTTCAGATGCATATTCAATTTTCTTTTGAAAGTCACGATTGAAACTGCCGCCACCACACTCAGACATTATGGATCCCTGTCTATGGTCTTTTTTTTTGCCAGTCACCTTAAATCTGTAACTTGACATTGCCAACCCTCCTGCCAATATAAACAGTTTATCCTTATTACTTAAACCTTTCATGATATGAATGCCTCTATTTAGTTTCCCCTTAACATTATGGACTGTTAACGGATTAATAATTTGAGCAAAACGATACTGTGCCTACTTCAATAGCAAACTGCTGTGAATGCTGAATATTTGAAATAAAAAGCTTAAAATAGTTGCAAATACTCAACAGAGTTCTGAAAAGTGAGTACTGTTCTGTCTGTGGACACTGGCTAATTTAAATATTTTTATCATTTTCTCTTTTTATTGTACTTCCTATTCCCCTTAACATTTCAGTGCAGTCTGTAATTCAATGTGCTTTATTGTACTTTTAAGATCTTTTGTATTCTCTCTAGCCATTGGAGAGGCCCCAGAGGACTGGCGAGTAGCTAATGTTGTTCCTGTGTTCAATAAGGGAAATAGAGATAATCCTGGAAACTACAGACCAGTGAGTCTCACATTGGTGGTTAGGAAGCTGTTGGAGAGAATTCTTAAGGGTAGAATTTACACACATTTGGAAAAGCATGCCCTAATTAGGAACAGTAAGCCTGGCTTTGTACAGGGCAGATCGTGTCTTACTAACTTGACGGAACTTTTTGAGGAGGTGACAAAGGTGATCGATGAGGGTAGAGCACTGAATGTTATTAACATGGATTTTAGTAATGCTTTCAACAAGGTCCCTCATGGTAGGCTGATCCAGAAGGTGAAGATGCATGGGAACCATGATGACTTGGCCATGTGGATTCAGGATTGGCTTGCCAGAGGGTATTAGTGGAAGGGTGTTTTTCAGGCTGGAGGTCTGTGACTAGTGGTGTTCTGCAGGGATCTGTATTGGGACTATTTGTGATATATATAAATGACTTAGATGAAAATGTAGATGGGTGGGTTAGTATGTTTGCAAACGATACAAGGATTGGTGGAGTTGTGGATAGTGTAGGAGGTTGTCAAAGGATACAGCGGGATTAAGATCAGTTGCAGATGTGGGTGGAGAAATGGCAGATGGCGTCTAATCTGGGTAAGTGTGAGGTGTTGCACTTTGGGAGATCAAATGTTAAGGAAAAGTGTACACTTAATGGCAGGACTCTGAACAGTATTGAAATATGGAAGGACCTTGGGGATCAAGTCCATGGCTCCCTGAAAGTAGCCACGCAAGATGGTAAAGAAAACGTATGGCATGCTTGCCTTTATTGGTCAGGGATTTGAGTACAAGAGTCAGGATGTCATGCTGCAGCTTTATAAGACTTTGGTTAGGCTACATTTAGATTATTGCATTCAATTTTGCATGCCACATTACAGGAAGGATACGGAGGTTTTGGAGAGGGTGCTGAAGAGATTTACCAGGATGCTAAATAAAAACCGAAAGAACTGCAGATGCTGTAAATCAGGAACAAAAACAGAAGTTGCTGGAAAAGCTCAGCAGGTCTGGCGGCATCTGTGAAGAAAAAATTAGAGTTAACATTTCTGAGAAGGAGTCAGAACTGGTTCTGTGGAAGGGTCACTGGACCTGAAACGTTAACTCTGAATTTTTTCTTCACAAATGCTGCCAGACCTGCTGAGCTTTTCCAGCAACTTCTGCTTTTTTAAACCAGGATACTACCTGGATTAAACAGTATGAGCTATAAGGAGAGGCTAGAAAAACTCGGGTTCTTTTCTCTGGAGGTTGAGGGGAGTCTTGATAGAAGTTCAACAGAGACATGAGGAGCAAGTTTTTTACACAGAGAGTGGTAGGAGACTGGAACGCACTGCGGGGTGGTGGTGGAGGTAGGTACAATAGGGGCGTTTAAGGGACTTTTAGATAAGCACATGAATATGCAAGAAATGGAGGGCTGTGCACCACTGGCAGGCAGAATGGATTAGTTTCACTTGGCATCATATTCAGCACAACATCACGGGCTGAAAGGCCCATTCCTGGGCTGTACCGTTCAAAGTTCTATGTTCAAATGGTTCATTGTGGCACTTAATGATGCTGATGCCTGGATTTAGTCCCTGTGTGAGCTGAGGTTCTTGGGGCCTACCTCTTTGACTTTTTTCATTCATTCTTTAATGTGTTGCTACCAAGGCCAGCACTTGTTGCCCATCTCTAATTGTCTTTGAACTGTGTGGCTTGCTAGGCTGTTGCAGAGGACAGTTAAGAGACAACCACATTGCTGTGAATCTGGAATCCTATGTAGGCCAGACTGGTTAGGCACAACAGATATCCTTCTATAAAGGATATTAGTGATCCACATGGATTTTTATGATAATTGATGATAGTCACCTTTCCTGAGCCAAGATTTAGAATTCCAGATGTACTCATTGAATATAAAATCCACTAGCTGCCACAGTGTGTTTGGAATGCTTGTCCCCAGAGCATTAACTTGGACCCCCTGGATTAGCGGTGTACTGCCGTCATCGCTACATCACTGTCTCTCATCTTACTCCATGCCAATATCGTGGCATAATTAAGTCTTGAATAGCAACTTTAAAACACTGAGGGCATCATGTGGAAAGAGTTGACTTTTTTGCATTACGATAAGCAGGGTGCATTTCAAGATCGCAGTTAATAGATTGAGGTCTCCTGACAACATCTTGGAGTCTGAAGCTTATGTTCCTCTCTGTTTTCCAGAATCTCTTCACTGACATCTGCCTTACATTCAAGTGTGAAAAATCAAAAAGGAAAGAAATGGAAAAGTTCACATGATCAGGTCAAAAAACCCCCGAAAGGCAAGACCACAAAATCACAGAGAAGAAAACGGACAGGAAAACCAGTGGGGGAGTGGTAATTCACAGAAATGCCAGTCACTGAGCCCAACTATCCTATGAATAAAGAGTCACTTTGTGATGTTAATATTAGAACAACAATCCTAGATCTCTATCTATAGAGATGCACTGTTGCTGGATGTTGATAGTGATGGGCCATACTTGGACATCACCAGGTCATTGTACTTCATGGGAAGATACTTAAGTCACAATAGCATCTTTTAGGAATAATCTGGGACTAATTGGTGATGGTGGCACATACTGAAAGATTTTGTTTTAGGAACCTTTTGCTTCTTAGAAGGGACCGTTGCATCTGATGATCATATTTGTGGAGCTCGTTTGTTCTTCAAGCTGCAAAAGTCTTCAATGCATTGCATCACTCTTTATTTTCCACCTTATAGGTCTGGATACTGTCATATGTGTGAAGTCTTACTGTGATTTATTACCTCTTATAGAAACTTATTGAATAGTTACATAACAAAAAGTCTGCAGTGGCAAAGGTCATTTGACCCAACTAGCCTGATCTGTCCCAAATTACAGATTTTCTCATGTGAACTGCACCTTACTTCTCTCACCACTGCCTGTAAGTCCTCAAATGCACCTATTGCCCTGAAGTAATGAGCAGCCCTGTTAATAATACCCCTGGAGCTTTCAATTTCTTTTTCTCAACGTACATTGATCCAGCCCACTTTTAAAGACACCTGTTGAATCTGAATCTCGCAATCCATCCTTGTGTGATAATGAGCCGATATCTATTCCCTTATTCTTGATTATTTGCATCCTTGACCTGTCTCATGTCACGCGAGTTTCGTTGCTTACTTTGATACGACCTGTGCAGTGTAGTACTTTAAGTTATTAGGTAAATGTTCCCTGTTATTTGTCAACATCTTTATTGTCTCAACATAAAAGTAATGAGGTTCTTCTGTATGACCATTATATCTCATAGTGTGTGCCTGACATCTGACTCTGCTGAGTTCTCCATGTCAGTTTAGAAAACTTTGAAGCTTCATAGTGGAGCAGCAGTAATGTGTATTCTCTTTCACTACATTACTGCAGATTTGAGAAAGTGGCTTGTAGAAAGTGGAGTTTTGCAGAATCATCTTAATATATATAAATCTTCCCATTTGATATCCTGATGTACCTAGAGATTTACTGTGGTTGCTATTTATTTCATTTCACAAATAGAAAAATTACAGATACTAATCAATTGTTTTTTTGCTGTGGGTAATGTTTTATTGAATTACATGTGAAAAAAATGTTCATCTGTACCAGTGTGGTACTGATTCCTTAAGTTCCTACATTTTTTTTGAATATTGAACTTCTTTTGGGATGAGTGGGGTCACACAACTTCTAATGAATCGTTTCCCCACTAATTCCACCCAATACTGTTGTTAAACTTTTCTAAGTCCAGCTTAGTTAGCTGTAAAGGTTAGTTATATATCTGAATGCCAATTTTACCTGCAAGTTTTGGTATTGGGTACCATAGAACCATAGATTCATACAGCACGGAAGCAGACTCTTCGGTCCAACCAGTCCATGCCAAACATAATTCCAAACTAAACTGGTCCCACCTGCCTGCTCCTGGCCCCTATCCCTCCAAACCTTTCCTGTTCATGTACTTATCCAAATGTCTTTTAAACATTGTAATTGTACCTGCATCCACCACTTCCTCAAGAAGTTCATTCCACACGCAAACCATTCTCTGTGTAAAAAAATTTGCCTCTTATGTCTTTAAGGTTAGAGAGGGATCTTGATCAAATGGGTCAATCAGCTGAAAAATGGCAGATGGAGTTCAATCTGGATAAATGAGAGATATTGCATTTTGGTACAACAAACATGGGTAGGGCCTTGGGTAGTGTTGTACAACAGAGGGACCTAGGGGTGCTGGTGTATAATTCTTTGAAGTTTGCTCCACATTATAGACAGGGTGGTTAAAAAAGCATTTAGCACACTAGCCTTCATTGCTCACACCTTTGAGTATAGGAGTTGTGAAGTCATGTTGAGCTTGTACAGGACATTGGTGAAGCTTCTTCTGGAATACTGTGTCCAGTTCTGGTCGCCGAGTTATAGGAAGGATATTATCAAGCTGGAAAGGATTCAGAAAAGATTTACCAGGATATTGCTGGGTATGGAAAGTTTGAGTAATAAAGAGAGGCTGGATAGGCTGGGAATTTCTGCACTGGAGCATAGGAGGTTGAGAAGTGATAGAAGTTTATAAAATAATGAGAATTAACAGTAACTGTCTTTTCCCTAGGATGGGGGATTTCAAGACCATTTTTAAGGTGAGAGGAGACAGATTTAAAAAGACATAACAGGCAAAACTTGACGGAGTTAGTGAGCATGCAGGCAGACACTGAAGTGGCACGCCATCGCAATAGCAATTGTAAAAATTTTAACGCAACCTACTTTGGTTTGAATGGATCTTGCGGTATTTCTTCAGGAAGGTCATAAAGATAGTTGTTGTAGATTTCAATGTAAGAAACAAAGACTATAAGCACTGTCCTCATCAACTCCCTCAGCTTTGCAGTGCTTAGGCACAGTAATCATATCTGCAAACTCAGGATCCATTTCATGCCTGGAGGAAAAGGTCTTGTTGTCAATTTTTTAAAAAATTGGTCTCCTGTCCCACTCAAGATGGCAACATAAATCCAGATATGCTCCAGTACTGAGGTAGTTCAACAAGGCCCAATTTACCCTCCGTTAGAGATAAAAAGTTCCATGTCACAATTTGAAGAAGAAAGAAAAAGGGAGTTTGACTTGGTGGTTTGGTTAACATTAATCTTATAACCAACATTCGAAACAAAACAATAATTTCTTGCAGTTGTGGGATCTTTCCATGTACAAATTGGCTGTCATGTTTTCTCCATTACAGCAGTGACAACATTTTAAAAATACTTAATAGATTGCAGTGTCTTTTGGGTGTTCTCAGATTATGAAAGACAATCTTTTGCAACATTAAATGTTACACCTCTACAAAAGTGAATAGGGCTTTGGTTCTGTATGTCTAGGTGATGGGGACATTTGAACCTGGTACTTTGATTTAGCAGGAGAAAATATTGACTCACTTATTTTCCAGTCGCATTTAGGTATTGCTGCAGCTCTGAATAGCTGAACAAAAAGAAAACTGAAATTATGTACATCATCAAGAATTAGGTTTTGAGGGAATAAAGCGGAGAGAGATGCTGCCAGACCTACTGAGTTTGCCCAGCATATTTTGTTTTTAACAAAGAGTGGACACACTGGATTGGATTGGTATAAAAGGTATTGTTTCACCTCACTGATATTTTGTGTGAAATATTCCTTCTAGTTGGTATTACAAAGTAAAATGATGTGGATATAGGTGCAGTTTAATGTTATGATCAAATACAAAAACATAGGGAAGAGCTGTACGATCCTTTAACATGTTTTGCTGAGCTTCAACCTGATGTAATGCTCCATAGGTCATCAGGAGTTGATGCTTACAGCTAAGGTTTTATTCAAACATTGTTTGTATTTATGAATGAATATATTAATGTATTTGAGTAGGACTCAGCCAGTAGTTCTTTGAACTGTTCTATCATTCAGTATGGGTATGGCTAATCTGCCTTTGCTGCATTTTCTTACATTATCCTCATCCCTCAGTTCTCTTGGTATCCAAATATTAATTGATCTCTAAATGAAAGAGCAACCTCTGGAAAATTTCCAAAGATTCAAAATCCTTTGAAGAAATTTCTGCTCTTCTCAGTTAACCTGGTTAAATGTAGCAGATTGCATTTATTCAATGGATTTATGTATCTTTTTGCCCCGTTGTTTTCACACCTTCTCTCCCACTCTGCAGCATGCACCACAAACTCATTTCAGGAAGGAAAACAGCAGGAAACCTGTGTAGTGGAAGACCAGTGAATTTACATGAATGGAAAAACTGATTTCTGGTGGTGTTTGAAATATTGTAGGAATCTAAGTGGTGGCCTGTGTCAACGTGTGTGGCAGAATTGGATGCTGTGAGACATGACCCATTTTGACATTGAGATCATGTCAATCCATCTTTTATGTTTTTCACAAGAGGCATGCTAAGATTATCGCTAGGCAACGACAAGGTGTTAGTTTAGTATCAGTCCAAATCACTCATTAATATTCAGCCTCCCATCTTGCCAAACCTGCCAAAAAAGTGTGACATAGAAAACTCAACAAGGAAATTGGAGTGAGCATCTGGCAGATTCACTTCATTCCTTGCTCCATGCTGGAAGCCAGGCATCAACATTTCAAGGTATGCTCTGTGGGCACTGGCCACATACACTCCATGTCCACAACTTTGCCATCTGACATAACAGCCTTTCAGAACCTTCAATGCATTTCAAGATGCATTTAGAGGATGCATCCATACTGCAAGGCTGCACCAACAAAAATGCTACAACAAGGAAAAAAATGCTTAACAAGGAAATTGGAGTGAGCACAGGGACAGGCACCCAGCTTGTGAAGTGGACCAGGCTGCATTCCTGGTATGTTCACTTTTTCTCATAATGCTCACTCACTCTGAACTAGCTGGATGCTCTCAAAATCCTTGAATTGCCTTGCCTTCCTTTTTGCACTTTAACCCCTCAGCTAGAGATACCAGCTTGTGTAACTGTAGTCCTTGGCCAAATCAAGACAGATAGCCTTTGCTCAGGGCTTCCTTGCGCAGTAAGTCAGGTGCAACCTCCGAGACAAGCCCAGGCCCTGCTCAGGAATTCCAAGCAAGACCCTCTTCGCATAAGGGGTGAATGAAGGGTGGTACGCTATCTCGTCTTGACTCTGCCTTGTGTGCAGTTTTCCTCACGGAGAGGCAGATATTACGAGAGTTGAAAGCAAGTGGGCACAGTAACTCTTGTGGTATGCATGAGCTGGTGTTCCGAGCAAATGAGTAGCAGTATTGGGGTATTGCTGAGTTAGTGGGGTTAGGGGTTGGAGTGGGTGGGGAAGATGTTGCACGTTGTGACCAGACTGATTCCTGGGATGGTAGGACTGACTAGTGAAGAGAGACTGGATCAGTTAGGACTATATTCACTGGAATTTAGAAAATTAGGGTATAATCTCATAACCTATAAAATTCTAACAGGACTAGACAGAATTAATGCAGAAATGATGTGCTTGATAACTGGGAGTCTAGAACAAGGGGTTGTAGTCTAAGGATATGGAGTAGGCCATTTAGGAATGAGATGAGAAATTTCCTCACCCTGAGAGTGGAATTCTCTGCCACAGAAAAAGATTGAGGCCAAAACATTAAATATTTTCAAGAAGGTGTTAGAGATTTGGCCTTGTAGCTAAAACGATCAAGGGATTGTGGTGGGGGGAGGGTGTGTGCTGGGGTGGTACTAAGGTATTGAGCTCAATGATCAGCCATGCTCATAGTGAATGGTGGAGCAGGCTCAAGCAGTTGAATAGCCTACTCCTATGTTCTATATTTCTATATAGTTCGTGGGGCTAAAGGGATCAAAAGGTATGGGGAGAAAGTGAGAGCAAGATGTTGGCTTGGATGATCAGCAATGATCATATTAAGTGGCCTACTTGTGCTTCTAATGTCTACGTTTCTACATATGAGTGGTAGAGGAGGTGGGAGGTGAGAGGTGAGTACAATAGCAGAGATAGTGAATGTGAGATACCAGAGAAGAGTTAGTGGAATTTACGTGGGGAGTGCTGGGCATTCCTCCAGCTAGATTAGATTGGCACTTGGGTTAAAACAATCTTGGACTGGTCTGGTGTCCTCACCTCCACTGGTGATTGAGAGAGGAGGAAATCCTGCATTGGCACCATCCTATCCTCCAGGACCCTACCTACGAAAAGGGGAGCTGATTTCCTCCTTGTCTGCCATGACTGGTATCTCTTGAGGACAACAAAAAAAAGGAAACCACAGGTGCCATCATTTTTGACTATCATGGGGGGTGGGGTTGGTGGTTGGGGATATCAGTGCACTTTACGGTTCAACAGTTTTGGGGGTTTGTGGCGTCCCCACCTCTGCGATGGAAAGCCTGGTTTTTAAGTGTCGCCTGTTCTGGAGGTGTGTCATAACTTATTCAGAATTCGAAAAAAATCTTTCGCTCAGCACCAGCGTGCTGCGTGACTGGTCGTGGGGGTGGATCTTGCCCGCAATAGGCGGCCGATGTAGATGTTGTTGGGCAGTGCAGAGCTCCAAGTAGGGTCAGCAGTCTGCCTCCAAGGATTTGACAGCTACTGATGAAAGTTGCAATGCTGGGTACCATGAGCTGCAAGTTCTGTCTTAGTTAACAACTTCGTAAAACGTGTCTAAGAAAGCGACACGTCTTTTGCAGAAGGAGTCACGAGCATTTTTTTTCAGTGCGGCTTGGCTGGGAATTTTGTTAACCTCCGAAGGAACGAATACTTGTGGCGAGATTGCTGAAATGCTGCAATTCATTTGACGACGGAATCCTCTTCCCACCGTTGACTATAGCAGAAGTGTCGCAATGTAGAATAAAGATATCTTTAAGAATTGCATTTGGCAATACTATGGATTACTTTTCCAGGAGGTTACTTACCAGAATGTTGCTGCGTCGGGTTTTCTGCGGGAAAGTTCTCGGGGTGCAGTGTTTGCAGAAGGTTTTCTACATGGAAAGTTGCAGATTTGTCACATTTCCTGACAAGTAATGCAGAATTTCAGCCTAGGATTCAAATCTTGCGCTGACATTTGTGCAACTGGCCTTTCGTGTGGAGTTTTCTGTAATGGTCTTCGGTTGAAGTGTCGCGGGGCAAGATTACCAAAAACTGCAGAAAAAAAAGTTTCGTGGTTTTGTAAACCAAAAGCAACTTGGGACTTTTATTTTCCGATGGCTCCGAGTGAGTATTCGGGGACGATGTCTTTTGTCAACGCAGTGGCTTGCTTAAAGTTCGAGGCGAACATATTTGACAGGAGCAGGTGCCAGAATTGCTTCAAAGCTTTTGATCTCCATCGAAAAGACCACGGTCGCGATGACAACCAGGTGAAACAAGAGCCAAGCCTTAATAATTTATGTTTTTTTTGTATATTATCTGAAAACACTAGGAGGAGTTTCAAAGAGGATTAAAAGCTGCGCATTTACACAGTCTGGCCAATGAATTTTCATTTTGATAAAATTTATGAATGGGCTTAACGTCTTTAAAATATTATCTCATGTTTGGGAGCACGGGCATAAAGGTTTATTGTAGGGTGCAGTTTTGTCAGAAATTTTTAACAGTCAAGTTAAGAATTACGTAAAAGATAGCTTAGAAACAGGCCTTTCTGCCCAAATGGGCAATGCCGGGATTTACGGTCTATTCAAGCTTCTTCTACCCGCCCATTTCACTTCATCAGTATAACCTCTTCTGTTTTGTTACTTAGTTAGTTCTTCTCGAATGCATCTGACAATCTCCTTAACTACTCATGCACATTCTCATCACTCTCTGGTAAAAAAACGTTTCTCATGAATTCCCTAATCAATTTATTAGTGATTGTCTTATATGTACGGTTCTTAGTTTTAGACTGTGACAAGTGTAATCAATTTTTTTGTTTTCCTAGCAAGCCCACTTATAATCTGTTAGGTCAACCCTGAGTTTTTTTTGTAGATTTCCTGATTGGGCATAACTTCTCAGTTTATCCTTGTAAATCCTTTGTGCACCTTCACTAATGTCTCTGCATCCCTTTTGTAGTGTGGAGATCAGGACTGCGCACAGTACTCTGAAGTGTGGTCCAACCAAAGTTGTATATCTGTTTAACATGACTTTTTTGTTTTGTTCATGCACAACCCTGTTTTACAGGGACAATGAATGAAGTTTGGCATTTAGTCTTTTTCTGTATGTGTGTGATGCAAGTGAACAAAGTACAAGAAAAGAACACTTTGGTAAATGTTTTGAAAGGAGAAGTTCGTACATTTTCATGTTAAGCAAATGCATTTATAACTGCATCGTAGAAGCGTTAAAAAAAAAGCACAGGAGATCATGTGGCCCATTGTGTACTGTACCATTGGGAAAAGCAATCCAGCTTGATCCCACTTTCAAAATCTTAGTTCATATCCCTGTAGGTTACAGCAACGCATGTGCATTTTCTAAGTTTCTTTTTAATGTGCTGGTTGATAGAAAGCACAAACCAGGTTTCTTTAATGATGAAACATCATTATTTATTGCAGCTAATTAGATTCTTACCATAGGTAAGCAATTAAATTAATGAACAAACTATACTGTTATGACATGGAGGTAGACAGCCAAATCAAATCAACCTTTCTATTTCCGTATTTGCAATAGTAAAATTGATACTTCAAAGACCCTCAAAATTGACTACAATAGCTTCTAACCAGCTTTTTGAATAACTAATCCCAAACTCTATGGATAATCCATTCAAGACACCAGAGTAATCTAATTGGTCTATGCTTTAACATCAAAAGCCTCTGTTTTCAGCTCCATTCACACTAAAGACAGACAAACAAACATGGATAAGGGATAAATAAAAGAAAATAAAAACTGGCCCTATTACTTAAGTGATTATCATGATCAACAGGCAGAATTGATGGTTTCTTGGTGATTTTCTGAAGATGTTGATCAGTGTTTTTACAGTTGATGCAGATAAAGGCATTAATATTTATAACTTGGCTTTCTATTCTCTGAGCTTCTAAGAGCTGAGAAAAGAAGTTAGGCAGGAAGCTTTCAAATCTTTGTGCTGCAACATGAACGCCACACTCCTTTTTCTCAAATGAACGGAATCTAAAACCCAGTTTAAACACTGACCACTCCCTGACAGACTGATCATCTCCTCCATGAGATCCTAGTTACCATTCAACATCTGTCATCTGCTTGAGCATAATGTCTTTCCCAGATTTGCTGGAACCAGTTCCCAGGTACTGATTTTGACCAGGGACCAACCTGAAATTGATTCCCAGGCCTGGCCTTACAAATAAACAAAAGCTTTTTTGGTCTGTTTTCCTTTTACCAAAAGCAGCTACTCACAGTCCGAAAGTCACCTTTACCTCAGTCCCCAATTCACAGCTCCTAACAAAAAATGATAAAAGAATGAAATAAAAATACTGAAATATCAGAGAGGGCTCTAACCCTACAAATAAAAATTTTAAACCTGGTAAATTCCCCTTTATGCATGCAGCCAACAGATGTAAACTGGGGGAGAAAACACATGGGCAGAAGGAAAAACTTGAAAGTCTTTGTTCACAAGATCTGTTAGCTTGGTTCTCACTGACTCATAGATTTCTCTCCGACCTTTTCTCAAATGCTTCCAGTGGTTTGCAAGACACTTAGAGTGGCTTGTTCACTTAGTGAAGGTCTTTGACTGATCCAATTCAAAGTCACAACTTGCAGCATCTGCTGAAGGAAGGTTAAACTGGTTTTCTCAGGTTTAAAGTGGCTTACTTGAGAGAACTGAGAAAGAGTGTGTTTTCTGGCTCCAAACTTGCTGTTTTCTTTTCTAGTCTGACCTAATGTCCTTCTGACTGGCTTACCGTCCAAACTATTCAGTCACCCGACAACCAGTCACCTAATTGTTGGCAGTCAGAGGACCTTTGTTATTGATAGCTGGTCCGTAGTCCACAAACTAATCAGCTTCACTTGTAAACAACCTCTAGGCTTCAATTCGTTTACAAGTTGCTGGATCTCACAGCTACACAAACAAGATTCACAAAAGGTGTCGCTTAGCTTGCTTTCAAAACATTCAGCCATCCTGGTAAGTCCCTGGTTTTAGAACAGTTCTTTCTCATTTCAGCCTACAGTTTTAGAAAGCACAAGAATTAAAGAGACAAAGTCTGTACATTAATCTTAGATCCACTGTTCTCCCTTTCAAACTGGATGTAAAATTTGATCATATTACAATCGTTACCCAGAGGTGCCTTTACTTTGAGGTTCTTAATTAATTCTGTCAGGTTACACAGTACTGTATTTAGTATAGCATAATACTTTCAATATCCATAGCTCCATGCTACTGTGTGCATGTTGCCACAGTGTCTCAGACTCCTCAGGAAGCCATTTAGCTGTTGCGGGTCAGTCTGGTGTCAACAGCAGGGAGTTTGCCACCATTTTAGAAGGGATGATTCAGTCCCTGTCTCCTTAGCCTATCTGTGGGACAGTTCTGTGGGTTGGACCTGCCTTCGGGCAGAGGACTCAAGAGGAAGATAGAGCAAAGCTGATTACGCCGGTGGAATGAGTCCCGAACAAGGGGACAGACCTTTTACATTAGAGCCTGGCTGTTTGGGGTGTTCTCAGCAAGCACTTTTCACTCAAAGCCATTGAAGATGGGGTTGGGGTCTGATAGAAACCATCATCCAGTGGATGGCATGGTGGCTCAGTGGTTAGCCCTGCTGCCTCACAGCACCAGGGACTTGGGTTTGATTCAAGCCTCAGCTGACTGTGTGGAGCTTGCACTTTCTCCCTGTGTCTGTGTGGGTTTCCTCTGGATGCTCCAGTTTCCTCCTAGTATCCAAAGTTGTGCAGGTTTGGTGGATTAGCCATTGTATACGTGGGGTTATGGGGATAGGGTGGAGGGGACGAGGTTCTGAATAGAATGCTGTTCAGAAGGGTGGTGCAGACATGATGGGCTGAATGGCCACTTTCTGCACAGTAGGGATTCTATGATAATAGAACATGTGCCTTCCATGTCCTCAAAAGAACCAACGAATCATCACAGCATAAAAGACAGACATTCAATCTGTTGTGTCAGGCTGGCTGTCTGTAAAAGTATCTCAGCTAATCCCACTCTCTTGCCCATTCCCTGCAGTGCTGCAAATTGTTACTATTCTGGCTCTTATCCAGTCTCCTTTTGAAAGTTCCAGTAGGTATCTGTTTCCACCATACTTTCAAGTAATACAATGCACATCCTAACCATTGGCTGTGTAAAAAGGCTTTTCCTCCTATCACTCTGTTTTTCCAACCATTTTAAATTAATAGAAACATAGAAAATGGGAGCAAGTGTAGGTCATTTGGTCTTTCGACCCTGCTGTTCCATTTACTTTGATCATGGCTGATCATCTAGCCTAATAGCGTGTTCCCATTTTTCCCCAATATCCTTTGATCCCTTTAGGCCCAAGTGCTATATATCCAACTCCTTCTTGAAATCGTACAATGTTTTGGCCTCAGCTGCTTTCAGTGGTAGTGAATTCCACAGGCTCACCACTGTCTGGGTGAAAAAAAAATTCTCCTCATCTCAGTCCTAACTGGTTTACTCCATATCTTTAGACTGTAACCCCTGGTTCTTGACTTCCCCATCAGGAATATGCTTCCTGCATCTACCCTGCCTAGTCCCATTAGCACTTCATTGATTTCTATGAGAACCCCCTCATTCTCATAAACTTTAGTGAATATAATCCTAACTGATTCAACCTCTCTTCGTATGTCAGTCCTGCCATCCCAGAATTGAGCCTTCACTCTTCTCCCTCTGCAGCAAGAACATCCTCCCTCAGCTTAAGATCCGAAAACTGCACATAATATTCTAGGTGTGGTCTCACCAAGGCCCTGTATAATTGCAGCACAACACACCTGCTCCTGAACCAAACCCTCTTGCTATGAAAGTCAACACTACATTTGCCTTCTTCACTGTCTGCTGCACCTGCATGCTTACCTTCACTGACTGATGAATGAGGACACCCAGGTCTCATTGCACATACACCTCTCTCATATAGCTATTCAGATAATAATCCTTCTTCCTATTTTGCCCCCAAAGTAGATAACCTCATATTTATCCACATTATACTGAGTCTGCAATGCATTTGCCCACTCACTCAGTTTGTCCAAATCACACTGAAGCAAAAGCAGTAATTGCTGGAAAAGCGCGACAGATCTGGCAGCGTCTGCGGAGAGAAATCAGAGTTAATGTTTCAGGTTGAGTGATCCTTCCTCAGAACTGTAGCATCTCTGCATCCTCCTTACAGCTCACCCTCCCACTCATTGTTGTGTTGTCTTCAAATATTGAGATATTACATTTAGTTCCTTCATCTGAATCATTAGTATGTACTGTGAATACCTGGGATTTTAG